GCCATCCTGTGGTAAACAGAGGATCCGGAACAAAATGATTTAATTAGTTTTGTTTATGTATTTATTTCAATTTGTTCCCCTTTATATCTTGTTGTTCTCTAGAAAAAAAAGCTCTTCATTCGTGTAATTTGTGTTAACTTGTAAACAAGTTGCATAACATGATCTGTGATGCTGTCACCTACACCAAGCATGTTAAGAGGAAGAACACCACGGCCATAGATGAGGTTTAAAGAACTCTTTGGGTTTTAAAACTGATTCATCCACTAATCCAGAAAATGTTCTAATAAAACAGTGTTAAAAGTGGTACTTGGTTCATTAGTTGTTGATACTGAACTTTTTTTATCCATGCAGAATATTGAAGTACTTTTTATAACAATATTCAAATCAGCACTATTTTCTTTAAACATGAAGCATTTCTGTATTCGTAGACTTTGAGTTTAACCAGCTCAAATCTCCAAAATGATAGAGTCTGTCTGACAAAGTAATGGTTAAACATCAAAATAAAAACTATACAATCTAAACTAACACATTTACATGATTTAAAGATACAAAATATGCATTCCTTTTCCCATCCAGCCACCAGGTGTCCTGCTCTGACCAACTTGACCAAGTATCCTCTCTGTCAGTTCATACTGCAGCTACACTCCCCGAGTCAGCTTCTGTCAGGCTGATGTCTGATGTCCACACTTTCATTAAGTGTACCAAAAACAACAACATTTAATATGTCCCAAAATATGTCTGTCATAGTCAGTACGCCAAATATCAGGAGCAAAAGATGTCACATTAACTGAACTGCGAGGAGAACACACATGCAACAGATTGAAACTGATGAATGACAAATTTGATAATGCTATTAACATGAACATGCAACATTGGCTTAAATGCAAATATGTGTTTCCAAACAAATGCTTTTTATGCTAAATGATGGCTTGGTTGTGTTAGCCAGTGCTGTATGATAATTAAACTCAACCCTTCATGTCAGTACAAAACCCCTGCCCCAACAGCCAACACTTTTAGACACTGCAATTCTGTCATTAATTATGTGATAAATGCAAGCCTTAACACACCTATTTCAAACCCAATATTAACAGTTTATATACCCCAAATGACAATAACGTTGATAATAGTAATTTCTGTAACGAGTACAATGGGGTTGTGCAGCTTCAGAATCTGACACGGTTCAGGTGCACAACAGGAATGTGTCACAGTAGCAGTGACAGAAAATTAATACAAAGTTATAGAACTAAAGCAAGATCAGAAAACAAAAGCAGCCTTTTCACAACAGTCAGATAGTTTGTGATAGGACTTATGTTAATCACCTGGGCAGATGAAGGTGGAGTCATGCTCACAATTCAATTCTAAGTATGTATCCAAAAGGGATAGTATGCTGTTCATTTTGAAGTGTGTAAAATATGAAACATCATTTCATATGAAACAGTTTTGCGTTGTGAAAAATTGAAAACACAAGGTTCATACCATCTGGTATTTCTGGACCATCTGCTGCTCTAACCCTCCAGGAAGCAGGTCTAGAGAGAGGTGAGTGAACTCCTCCTCTATGGCTGATCCAGCTCAACACCTGCACATTAAAGGGACAACACTTGTAAAATACTGCAGTCCTGCATATGAACGACTCATGCTGGACAGAAAAAAAACAGTGACTTGACAGAAATACTACAGCAGGGCACTTAGACAAAACTGTACATACAGCCTGGAATTAGTTCTAAATTTATTTACAGCATACAAAGACTGAATAAAGTCAAGAATCCATGGATTGATCTTACCAACACTTCCCTGTTTTCATTTGATTCATGTTTGAGCATCATAAAAATCCCTCCAGTTCCAAGCTGGTCGCAGGTGTTATTGTGATAATATATATTTGAATCATGAAGCCACCTCCAGCTAAACAGGCTCAGTCCAACAGATGGTGACAAAGGGAACAGCTACGTGCTCTAGTCTACCCGACTGCTCAGTGAAACTTGCCTGCCAAACATCATAAGGAAATTGCTCTTGGCAAAAAAAACCCGAACAAAAACAAAAAAAACAAGTTAGGCAGTTTTACAAAGTGGTACTCATTTGGCTTTTTTTGATTATGACAAGAAAAGGAAAAGAGGCTCCGTTTTCCTTCTTGACATTTTTTTCTTGAACAAAAAAGAGAAATGGGAGATTGGATTTTTATTTGGACAATTTTTCACCAAGACTTTGAATTTACTTTGAAAAAGTTTAACAAATGTTGACACATTTAGTGGGTACACAGTGACTGCACTCCTCTCTAAATTAATTAGATTGATCTGATGACATTTTTAAACAAAAATATCTTTAGGAATACTTAGACTTCATTTAAACGTAAACCTATTTGGGATTTATGTATCCCTCACACTTTCTTTTTCACTGGCACACATTTTAAATTGCACCTCCTCTTCCTCATCCACCTCCTCACAGCTCTAAAACAATCCTCGGAAATGACCCCCACCCACCCAATGACCAAACCATCCCCCCTCTCCCAGTGGAAAAGTCCCCTGCTCTGTCAGCCCAGCAGGAACCATTAGCCTCCTTCCCACAGGCTCTTCCTCCCACTCTACATTCATACTAACTTTTATCTGCTTTTTTTGTACATTAGATTATGATTTTTGACAAATTTTACTGTCATTTTTAGGAGAGATTGGCTGAAAAGGGGCAGGAAATATAGTGTGGAAAGAATGGGGTAGACATGCATCAAAGGGGCAAGGCAGGGAGCTGATCTGATATAAAGAGCACTATAGCCTCTGTTAAAAGCACCTCTGCTCTTCCAACTGAGCTAATCTGTGCTTTATTGTTTTGAATGAACAAATACCAGAAAAATGTGCCAATTACAAAAGATTGAGAGTGAGACGTCCCTCTAATCAGGAATATACTGCCAGAACATTTTCTTAACATTTATTCCAACAAACGTTTCAAACAATTTAACTTTAAAAAAGTCAGTGTGTAAATAAGAAAGCCAAACTACACTACAGAATGTGGTTTGATCACTCAATCCTAAACTCCTGTCCCCTAACCTGAGTTTTATCTTATCTTAACAGTTTAAAAATAGTATTTCAAGAAGACATCTATTGCAAATTGGTCTCTTTAAATCATTGATTAAAGGTCACATACTATGCAAAATGCATTTTACCATGGATTTCTAACACTAATATGTGTTCCTAGCTTGTCTACAAACCCCCAAATTAGAAGCAAAGTCATTCCTTTCTGTCTTTTCATAAAATGTGTGCTCTAACAGGCAGTTTAGAGATTTTCTCTTCATGACATCACAAAGGGAAGTAACCCCTCCTCCAGGTGGGTGACACTCCTACAGCTAGGATTTTGTTATGCCCTCTAAGTCTGCCTTTTCATTGTAAACAATTAAAGGGATACTTCACCATTTGCATTAAGCATTGTATCAGTAGTAAACTGGGAGTATTTTTGAATGGTTGTGCATCCAGCCCTCATTTCCCCCCTGAGACTGGATAGTTCTGTATTTCTAAGTCTGAAAAGGAGCGGTTAGCGGTGTGAAACTACAACGCTACTTCCTCATATTTTCGACCACTGAATCTACAGACCAATCACAGATGAGTGGGTGGGAACTCACTCCCAGAATCAAAACTTAACGTCCGCCATATTGCTTGGAAGCTATGCTAACAGGCTTTATGGAGAAAGCTGATAATGGCGAAAAAATATAAATATAGCGGCGAGATGAACCAGACAAAATGTCCTCACTCTGCAGTTCTAAAACTTTGAATGGTCCCCACAAAGATAGAAGAGCAGGAATACACACACACGCACACGCACACGCACACACGCACACACGCACACACGCACACGCACACGCACACGCACACGCACACGCACACACACACACACACACACACACACACACACACACACACACACACACACACACACACACACACACACAGAAAGGAAGGAGGTCGTTTCTCTTGCAGGTCAGTGGATTTCCTCTTCTCTTATCACTAACAGGAAGAGAATGAAGACAGACAGAGATCAAGTGATGCCGGATCAGAATTTAAGACTTTAATATCTTAACTGATTTAAAAACTAAGTTGCTTTACAGACATAAGGAGAAACTTCACACACAGACTTATTTCAAACATACATGACTGAAAACAAAGGCACTCCCTTCAGTTTGTAGGGACCTGTGTTGGGAATTGGGGGGTCGCAGTTCCAAATCCTTGGGCAGACGATATGGAAAATGGCCTTTAGCAAGATACCAAATCCCCACTAGTTCAGGAGTGCTCGCTCTGACATCTCTCCAGTAGTGGGTGTCCATAGGATGCTGTTTGTGAATGTGTATGTATTTTAGCCTATATGTGTGTGTGTAGCATGTCTCAACAACAGAGGGTAAAGTTGATTAATAAAGGATATTGTTTTTCTTTTTATTGTACTGTTACTTTACTCATTTTATAACTGTCATATATTTAAGCCTCAGTTTTAGAACATGTTGATATCCATTATTACATGTATGTCCTAAATACTTGATTCTGATCGGCTAATTAGGCACCTATAGCAACAGTCCGCTATCCCTTAACAGCAGACTCTTAAGAGGAAGAAACCATCCGTAATTCGGATTTATAAGGACTGGCCCCAAAAGACTCTGTATAAGGCTGGATCTGTTATTGCCCAACATTACCAGATACTTTTTAGGACAGGGTTAACTGGGGTAATAAATCAAGTTGTAAGTACACTAATCTTCTACTTACTGATACCGTTGCACTTGTTCCTGCAACCAGTCGAGTTGCCCCCTGCAGGCCTTTGGAAAGAATGAATGTTTGGTATATCTTTTTAAAACCTGGAGGCTACATCCTCTCATTATGCACAGTCTTTGGTCAAACTGAGTTTTCTCAATAACTATTGGATGGGGTAATTCCTCTGACCCTCAGAGAAGGAGGGGGTCATAATAACACATTATAACAGCAGAGGAAACAGGAGGTGTGTCCTCTCCCCTCCTCCCTCTTCCTCCTCCTCTCTCTCTCCTCCAGCGATTTAAAAGCAGCTGGTGGTCGTGCGAGCTTCCACTCCGTGATGTGGCTGGGAGCAGACATGGCAGCAGTGGGAGAGCTGGTGCTGGTACTGGGCTTACTGGTCTGCGCTCACTGTGAGGTGAGAGGACGAGACCCCGATGTGGAGAAGGAGGAGGAGGAGCTGGGAGGAAGAGTAGCAGCGATAGGAGGAGGAGCAGAGTTCTTCCCTCAACTTGAGGGGTTACCCCACAGGGCAACAGGGACACCCCCACTGGGAGAGAGAGGGAACTATCCAGCCAGAATGGGGTGAGTCCAGTAAAAAAATAACTCAAGCTTCACAAACTTGTCCTTTTTAGCTAATGGACCCACCTGAGGTCCATTCGCTGAGGAATGTGTGATGAAGTGCAGTGATTAATCAGACTGGCAGCAACTTTTCTGAAAATGGATTGATTCTTTTTTTATCTTTTGAGTTTAGAGCAGAAAATATTGACCATTTCTGAGAAAATGTGTTGCTTTTCTGTGTCAACAGTCAGAAAACTCAGTCTTGTTGGATTCTGACCTGATGTTTCAGACTCCATCTTGGACATCTTTTAGAAAATGATTTCTCTTTCATTCTGATTTTTATATTGCATGATCCAGAACAGAGTGGACTGATGGAAGAGACAATTATAAGAATAGTTTGTCATATGATCTCATTTCTGAATGAAATAATATATTTGTAAGATAGAGGTCTGAATTTCTGAACTTTCAGTGATCCTGTCTACCTTTCCCCTCAGTTACAATAAATTTAAGACACAAAGTTCATATCGGAGATGTCGGGACCAAATGAATAGAGTAGATTACATTTACCCAAGTAACTATTCTTAGGGAACTTTATTCTACTACTCAAATGTACTTTTTGATGGTTGACAGATGTAGGTACTTTCCAAATCATGTTTATATATATATAAAAGCAGGAATATAGTATACAATATACAATTTATCTTGGGATAAAAGTTAGGCTTGTGAGCATTTTCCTCAAGATCAATGTCTTGTGTGGCTCTGCAGTTTTTCCATTCGCTTATTGTCAGTTTCACAAAAGAGACATTTAAAAAAAATGAATGTCTCAGATCGTTTCATTTTTCCCCCGTAACTATTGTGGAGGCCTACAACATTAAATCAGCAAATACAAAAAAAGGAAACATTTTTAGAACTTGTGTTTTCTTCTCCTCTCAAAGAGTTCATCTGATGATCTGTTGGTTTGTCTTCTTTTAACCAATTAACTGTATAAAAGAGTCAAAGTTGAAAAGTTCAGTGTGTTGTCTTTGTGTTGTTAAAGGCTTTCTATGTGATTTTTCACACTTAAATATAATAGAAATCAAGTATATCCTCTGAAAATAACTCTGTGAGTCATGACTGTCTACAATGGGTGTAACACCCGAGTCCCACTGTCTGTGATGTTTTCAGAGTTTTCCGAGTCCTATCTTCAGTTTGTTGACATAGACGGCCCGGCCGGCTGACTCCTCCCCTCGTGAATAAAAGTTGTTTAATTGAGGGAATAGAGAAAAGAAGAATAACATACTGTACTCACTGCTTAACTGCGTTTCTAGATCACGCTCATTTCGAGTAAATTTACATGCAGTGTGAAGATACGAGCATAATAAAGATCGCTAGCATTAGCATGCTAACCCAACAATGCACCGCCAGTTGTTTTGGTTTCATTCTGGTGCTCAAGGGCGACATCTGCTGGATACAATTTCTGAATATAAAGCCTTTAACTGCTTTGTTTTAGTAGTTAGCTAGCAAATCTTGTGATTTTAGCAGCTGGTCTCTGGTAAGATAACCTTTAACTCTTCCACTTCTTGGTATGACCAGCGCTCTAACAACCTGATCCATTCTTTTCATTTTTTATCTTACCTTATAATGTCTCATCGACACAAGCAGCAGCTCCTTAAGATGATTTTGAAAACTAATAAGAAACTATTTTGCCTTTTAGATTGGCTGACTTTTTTTTGTTTTAACAGTCCTCTCATGAAGTGGACCAAGCAAAAATGTTTTTACTTTCCAAAAATATCCAAGTCTAACTCTTGAGCTGGTCCTTACTAAGATAGGAAGGTCAAACACACACAGTTATACAAGTGGAGCCTAATGCATACAGAAGTACCGAGCAGGGAGGGTTTACATGTTTTGACTGCCAGCATGCTTATAATGGGCTGGTACCACCCAGACTGCTGCCACAAACACACACACACACACACGCACACACACACGCACACACACACGCACACACACACACACACACACACACACACACACACACACACACACACACACACACACACACACACACACACAAACAGAGCCATACAACATACATTAATTGTATGATTTTATGAGTCTGAAGCGGAGAGTGGGTGTCCTCTTTGTGTTTGTCCTGCAGGAATTAGACCGAGCCGATCCTCACAGGCTTCACACTGAGCAGAAAACAATCATAGACCTTAGCTTATTTTTCGTGTCTCAAGTCAAAATAAAAAACCAGGAGCTGCTGTGAGGATTTTCTCAGGTGGCCCTAAGAATTATTATTACTTTGTTGGCCCTCTGACTTTTTATCTAGTTCCAACATCACGTTAACATTTTGAACAAGTCAAATACTGTGGTTACCAAACACTCAAAGAACTCATTATGATCCAATCAATCAGTCTTAGCTTTCGTGTGTGTTTACTGTGAATTATCAAATGTCACAATATGCCAACAAGCTTAACTAAAATAGGGAACATTTAACTCTGAGTGTCCAGTATACCATTACAGAACTGCTGGCTTAGCTGAAGATTGATCCCGTTGTAACGATCCCTATAAATCATAGTGTTTTCCTGGGTTAATAAATAGTGTTGTTTTAAATTTACAGCAATTCACCTTATGTTAGAAACAGCTGAACAAAGACTTGGCATTCAGCTACCATAAGGGCACTGGCTCAAAATGTATGATATTCTATGTATGATATTTTACCTAACTCTTTGTTACGTCATCTGCAAAGACCCAATATGAATCCATCATGAGCACTAAGCAACTTTTAGAAAAGTTACAGTGGCAAGGCGAGAAGAAAAAGTTCCTTTAAGAGGCAGAGGCCTCGAGCAAAGCCAGACTTTAGCTGAACAACCATCTTGCCCAAACTGTGTTGGGCTTGTAACGTGGGATAGAGGGAGATACAGGAAGAAGGATAGAGATAAACAAAGCAACAACAACAATTAAAGAGATAGATGTGTCGGTGCAATGTCAGTTATGTCATCTGGTAAAATTATGTGTAGTGTCAGCAGTAACCACTAAGTATGATAATATCATTATTAATGTTAGCAATTTTAATGATAATGACACAGGAAGGACTGATTATTAAAACAACAAAGAGAATCCAAACAATTACAAATTGACACAAAACCACACAAGAGACTCAAGGCTGCCATAGTAGACACAAGACAACTAGGCCTACTAGGAGGCACAAAAAGACAAAGAGAGACACTAAATGAAAAAAAAGTTGTTAAACAATCATAATAAGTAATAAGATGGAAAGCATGCATACCAAGAGATTAATGAATCTATGAGAAAAACAAAACGGCTGCATTAACCTAAACTACCAATAAAGAGGTAAAAAAAGAGAGAGAAATCTGCAATGAAGAGATGGATGGAAACAAACAGACTCATGATGACTAAAAGACACAAGATGACAAATAATACATAATGGCTACAATTAGACATAATGCGACCAAGAGAAGCAAAAGAGCTTTGGATAAAAATCAGCCACAATCAGATGGAAATCTACCAAAGAAAGACCAAAACAACATCAATAAAGCTAGTTTGGAGGGCCGAGTGAGTGAAATATGTAAAGGTAAAATTATTAATTTAAGGGAAAAAGACCTAAATATGTCCAATGCCTATTTGCATTTTTTTTTCTATGGGAAAAAGAAGTGCTGCATTTTGAGATTTTAACGTTTGTCAGTCTCGGAGATAAGAGGATCAAATGTCTCGGGTGACATTTCTTGGAGCGAGCTCATACAGGCCTCCGTCATTTTTCTGACCCACATCCATACATTAAACCACAGGACTCGACTACAGATTCTCAGATAAAAATGATCCCTGAGGGCTCTTAACAAAACAACCCTCCATTACCTAGAAGACCCCCCCCCCCCCCCCCCCGCTGCCCACCCCCCATTTTTAACGATGCTTTAATGACATCGTTCACAAACAGAACTTTTTGTGCTGTAATGGAGAGCAGCTTTCCAGTGTCTCGTTTTTTTTTAGCCTCAGTTATCATTGAAGGCTGATTGGTGAGCGAGGGAGGTGATGGAGGGAAGGGGTTTACATGCATGCTTTAGAGGTCAGAGATCAACAGGTAGTTAAGTGCTGAAGAAGTGGAGGTGGAAAGGTTTGTTGTTTGGCTGCTAGAAAAGATGTTTTGAGACTTTATAGGAACCTAACCAATCATTCTCATGTTTTTATATGATTTAGTCAACCATATATAATCTTATTGAATTGTATTGCTGTACATTTTTCAAATTGTTCATTTTTTTATGACTGTCTGACTTTGAGGCAGACATTGATTTAAATGTATATCTATAAAACCAACTTTAATAGGGAACAGGGCCTTCTCTATTGCAGCTCCCACCCTCTGGAACTCTATCCCTAAAAACTTCAGAGACTCCCCCACACTCCTACAAGAAATCCCTAAAAACTCATCTTTTCATCAGCGCTTACAACCACTGACTCTCATCCTCTTCCCTAGACACTATCTATTCTGTATTGTTCTCTTAGTTTTTGCTTTGTTTTTTTTGTTGTTTCCTGTCAAAGCGTCTTTGAGTATCTAGAAAAGCGCTACATACATCTAATTTATTATTATTATTATTATTATTATTATTATAATAGAGAAACATTTTAACTACATGCTCTTATTTTGAAGTATACACAACGTTTTTTCGCTCTTCCATCTTTTGGAGTTAGTCCGTCGTATAGTCTTGTTGTGATTTTCTGCTTGCTGGCTGGTTGGTTTGCTGCTGATTTGAAGAATTTGTTGAAAATAGAAGTTTGCCCTACATCCTATACAGCCAGAACTAGAAGAAGAAGAAGCTCAGACAGACTCACATCAAAGGGAGCTGAACCTGCAGATAACGTGACCATGAAGGCATCGTTTACTGCTTATTCACCCGTTGTCAGCGGTTGCACAGCTGGCAGATGAAAGGAAGACACGCAACAATGAAAGAAGGGTGAATCAGATGAGCATTTTAGGAAAATGTTTTTATCAGTCATAATCATGCAGGGGGATTATTGCTGCTACTGCT